CCGCTTTATGGCCCCTTGGCTGTATTTGGAGAAGCAATGCTCAGTCTCATCCTTTTCGCCCTCGAAGCATCCGCGTCCGTCCGCGTCCGATCCTTTTGGCTTCTCGGAGGGCAAAGCCGCTCCGTCCAGCTCCGCCCAGCTGAGCTCCTCGTGGGTTCGCCCAGTGCGATCCTCGACGTCGGAGCTGAGGAAATTGAAGCTGGCTCAGAATGTCGGATGCTGAGTCCACCGGCCAAAACTGTCACAGACTGTACACTGTTTCTAGTTGGGACCAACAATACATGCAGTGTATTTCCACGCACCAACGTGTTGCAGATTGTACTGCCTGCCACGGACTTCGGACAGTTTTCAAGGCGTGATTTGCATGGCCGACCTGAACCCGGAGGAGCCGAAACCATACGAGCCTAGATGAACACAGTCGTATTCAGAAACTGTGCGGTATTCAGAAACTAGTCTTCAGAAAGTTTTGTTTCCGAATACAACCGTTTCGTTTCCGAATACAACCGTGACCGAAACTATACTATTTGTCATGCTGTACTTGGATTTGTCAGATTGTGGTCAGGTGTGATTGTTTGAGTTGGGGGGAACAGGTGCGTGTGTATGACAAAAAGGATCCACTCTCCAGCCTCAAGGCAGCTAGACAGGTGAGTAGTTCATGTGTTTCTGCTCCTTGTGGCATTTCGCAGAAGCTGGGGCACTGGGTCGTTGAAGAACTTCCCGACTCACATCCCGTGCAAGGACGGCTTGCGAGTGGTGACGCCCTGTAGCCACAGTTTTCACCAGGCCAGGGGCTTCCTGCAACTGTGAAGCTTTCATGAGTGTAACTGGGGGTGCCTCTTGGTATAGAGACCCCCTGCTAAACGGACATATATATATATAATATATTATATATATATAATATATATCACGAAAGGTAGCTTGAGCTACCTGAGTTCTCCTTGCTTTAGCAAAAATGTATTACAATCAGGAGTTGGGATTGTGCATTGAGTTTGGTCCTGTAAGAGTTGATTCTGTTCGTCGGGGGGGGGGGGCCCCCCTTGGATCAAATCCCCCCTGCGCCGGTTCACGCCGTCATGGACTTTTACCAGGGTTGCTTGTGATTGCCTGCTACCTTTCGTTCACCCCCTCCTCTCTCAAGTATAATATTATAGCCTAGGATCCATCGCAAGGTCAAGGTTGGTCACCAGGTCTCCACACCTGATGTCAAAGAGCGTGTTGAGAGGAAAGGGTTGGTTTTGTGCTTCCTGATGCGCATGCTGTTTGGTCGATCTCACTTCAGCCAATGGGATTCCAAGTGTGCAGAACATGGAACACAGGGAACACAGGAAGACCCATGAGTTCTGCTTCGTCATGGCTCCTGCCCACTCCCTTCATCAGGCCTGCTTGGAGCAGTGGATGGACGTAAAAATGGAGTCCGCGTCCCAAAAGTTCAAGAAGGTTCAAGAGCATTGGAGCCTGATTTCAGATGCCGAATCCTTTCACTCCTTCAGTTGCTGGGTGAAAAGAAAAACATCACCATTTTGGAGACCTTTTTGGATACCAAAAATCATGCTCATCATTTTTTGGGGCGCCTTCCGCCCTTTCCTCAGCTTCCAGGGGTCCAGGACTGGACCGGCCGACGGAAGACGGACCGCCGATTTCCCCCCTGAGGTGCCCGACCTGCCGGGCAGCGTTGCCGCCTCTGCAATGAGGGCCACTTGTCTCACCGAAGCAAAGTCTAGACATTGCTTTTGGGCCAGGGATGAGCAATGGAGCAGGGACGCAATTTTCCGCGGGTCAGCCACTTGAGGTTGAACTCAAGTGAAGATTTCTGATGTAGCCCTGCAATACTTGTAGCAGAAGTGCTTTCCAATCCTGTTTGATCACAAGGCAGATCGAAGCACGCCGGAAAGGGCCAGAGTCAGACTGATAATTCAGTTCGCGTGTGCTTCGGGACATTTGATGGACAGCTCCTCGTGATTCGCGTGTTTCCGAAATTCTTGCAGCATGTTTTGACATGTGAAGAGCCTCCTTTGCCTCCCTAAGTCGGCAGATGGCCCTCGCAGTTGGACGCCACCAGTCCGTCGAGAAAGGGCGCAAGGTGAAAAAGCCGAAGCCTTTCGTCGATGGTTCATGGGTCCCACGGGGCGGATTCGCCTTCCCCACGAACCTTCGCTTCGATCGCGGAAAAAACAGAGGTCTTCCGTCTTGGTTTATTTGGACAGTTGGGTGCGGATTTTCCGGAGGGCTTACTGTAATTAGGGCACTGTAGGCCTTTCGTTGGCATGTGGATCTGAGCACTTGTTCCACATTTGCTCCACAAGATCAAGTAAGAGCATTTGAAGAGATCAGTCAGTGATCAGAGCAATGAACACACATTAGATGTGACATGGGTTTCGAGGGTGGTCACTCCGCTTCTTCCATCGGCCTTCTCGAGCCCAACAGGCGCGCTTCTGGCTGGAGCGCTTGCTCCGTGAGCCGTGGGCTGCCCAAGTCGTCCCACCCGAGTGCCAATGCGGTTATAGACTGGCCTTGTGACCTGAAAGTAGATAGAAAACAGATGAAACACGTATAGAAAAGTGAATTCACTCACAACACTTTGGAACACGTCTAGCACTTTATATCCATTTTGAGGCCACAAAAACACACCTCAGGATATTGCAGATTTACTTCCGGTGGAAGATACAGATCAGCAATGATTACTCTTGTGTCTTCCACACCTACAATGTTATGTGATGTTATGTGTGTACATATATATATATACACACACATCTAGATGCTCTATTGCAAGTCTCTTGGCCTTTTAGATTCTGGAATTGTTTGTGGACAGTATATAGGATAATTCTGACTGCCAAAAAGCCTTGTTTATTCATTCATTTATTTTTGTGATCTCACAGTAAGCAGCCTATCCTGTATTGCCTGTGCTCGTCACATGGAAGCTGTGCCTGAGCTGTCGGATCCTTCTTTGACTGTGTCTCTGTCCAGTCAGCAAGAAGGGTCAGCGTTGCACGACCCAGCTCGTGCAGGGCCTGTCAGGATGCAGGCAGGTCAGTTTTTAGTTTTGATTCCTAGGCCGCCTCCGTCTAGATGCAATCAGCCACGTCTTGGATACCCTTTGCTTCAGAAAGCCGTTGGAAATCATGGTGCATCTCTTGATCAGCAGGTGGCTTGGCCACTATGGCTATTTCCTGAACATCACCAAGGAAAAGGATGGAGCATTGAAGCTTCATCACATTTCGCTTGCTTCTGATTTTGTGCCTCATATTTTGATTTCTTGGGCAACAGGATGAGCAGCTGCCTAGTTAGGCATCAAACCCGCGGTGGCATCGAAGAAACAATTCCAGATGTTCTCTTTCAAAGCACAGCCCTTGCCACCGAGCATAAGAGCGATTCCGAGCTTGAATTCCTCTTGTATACGTGTCCCATGTTCGGTCAGGTTAGAGACACCTCAAAGGCTGGAGAAAGGCAGGAGTGATGTCACAGGTTGCTTGTGGGTCTTGTCGACGTAGCCCAGGACTGCTTGCAAAACTGAACACACCGTGCCCGAAAGCTGAAGATCGACGTCCATACGAAACGTTAGCTTTGTTATTTACCAACTGTATCCAAGGCATTAAAATAACTCGGATTAATTTGTTCAGTGGTCTGTGTTATTTTACTACTCTATAATTGCTGCATTTGTTCCCTTGTGAACGTTTTGTGAAATATGGAGATTGAGTCCATTTCGGAGTATATAGACCGATCATCTAGACTAGTAGCCTGCATTCAGAGTATTCTTCCATTTGAACACCACCAACTCATTTGTTTCATTTTGTTTCCATTTGACCTCTCTAGTCATGCAATCATTCTTGATCCCTCGCCGGCCGTCCAGGGGCAGGCCCCTCACGAGCAGGCCGTTTGTTGGGGTGGAGACGCAGTTTTTCTACAGCTTCGTTTCACGCGATTCGGAAGGCTTTCTAAGAGGAGGTGAAACGGAGGTTTCACCAGGATCTGAGCTTGTCTGGCGTGGTGGCGGTGCGTGGTCAAAAGTGAAAGGAGGTGTAGCGACTCCACACAACTCTCCTGTTTCTGTGTGGGGATGCAAGGTATCCCAGGAAGTTCCGTAGGTGCCGTAGCTTTACGTTGCGGTCTGGAAAGCTTGTTGAAAGCTTCGGGCTTCATGCACGAAAACTTTCGGGTGAACCAAAGACAGATATTTTACAAGAAGGACTCTGCTTGAAGACCAAGTGCAGGATCAAGGATATCAAGGTAGCTCTGCTGTCACGTCGCACACGCGACTGATACTCTGATACATCCAACGAAACAGCTGCAGCAGAAGCTGTGGGTTGACCGGCGCGGTGTGTCCAAGACGACAGACACTGCGGATGAACGTGTCCAGCACGAGTCCGGCATCGATCATCCCGGGAGGAGGGATGAAGGAGGACCATCCGAATTGGAATGAAGGCCATGAGTGTTCCCAAACAAATGTGGACCACACGCACATGCATTTCAGTTACCACCACTTGCATCATCGCGGGGTCCAAGCTGCACAAAAGAACTGTCCGCCGGCGTCAAGAGGGTCCAATTTCTATCAGAATCCTCCCCAAGATCTCTTCATTTTGGGGCAAGGCAAGCTGTTCTTGTTCGTTTCAACCAAAATGACACAACAGTCATTCCATGAAATGAATGACACCATATAGTAACCAGTATGTAATTGATTTAATAATTGACTCAACTGAGCACGTCTTCTCTTCTCCTCGAACCTCCTAGAGCCACTAAGGCTGAGTGACGTGGAGCTCAGCAAGCGCCGGCGGCGGCGGCGTTGGGTCCGGGAGACCTGGAGGTGTCCGTCCGTCCGGCAGAAACGGCGGTAGGGCGTTTTTCAAAAAGAACCACCGATCGCTTGGGTTTGTTTGTTTGTTTTTTTTTTTTCACGGCAGATCGGTCAGATGGTCTTGAACATCTGGAATTTCTCCCAGCTGGCGCAGTACAGATGATTGAAGTACTGTTTGCCATTTGCGAATGAGGTTTGGGCGAAGCGAGAGATGGTGGGGACTCCAGTGCGAAGGGAAGAGAGAAAGCTTCTCAGACTGCCGTGCCCCTGTGTCTTGGTCTATCTACTCATGACACATCAGCCTTGATAAACACTGTCAATTTTGGGTTGACGCCAGGCAACTCACCAACCCAACGTCTTGGGTGCCTCATCAAAATCTCTTGCCACTTCCGAGATAGCCCCGGCAAACAATGGCTGGGGATTAGCTTTTATGAACAAAGCGACTTCTTCCATACTTGGAATGGTTTCCAAGTATGGGGGCTTCAACAATGGCTGTGGAAAAAGCAACAATGAAATACGGACAAGCATTTGTCCGCAGTATGAGAAGTCCAATGGACAAACCACGACATATGGTTCGCAAGCAACTGTACGGACAAGCAACTCAATGGTTTGCAGGACTTTGATTTGCTGAGCAGCGCACGAACTCACAACTTCAATGGAAGTTTGCACCGGTCGCAGAAAACGACTGAGGCTCGCTCAGCGGGCTTTTTCAGTGAAGAAGAGATGAAGGAACGAGACCCACAGCCCCTTGGATTTCAAATGATTTCAACGACACACACACACACAACTATAGCCCGTTTTTCTTTTTCAAGTTTTTTGGCCCAGGCTAATTAGCTGTGACCCATCATTGAATCAGGAGTTGAGTGTGGATTGCAACGGACCAGAGACGAGTTATTCAAGACCCACAGTAGCTCATGTAGTAGCTCATGTAGTAGTAGTAGTAGTAGTAGTAGTAGTAGTAGTAGTCGTAGTAGTCGTAGTCGTAGTCGTAGTCGTAGTCGTAGTGGTAGTGGTAGTGGTAGTGGTAGTGGTAGTGGTAGTGGTAGTAGGAGGAGGAGCAGCAGCAGCAGGAGGAGGAGGAGCAGGTGCAGGAGCAGGAGCACCAGCAGCAGAGCAGTAGCAGTAGGCAGTCGCGAGAAAGCAGCTCAAGCCCACTTCCCGCCGCTGTGAGGCTTTACCATCGGCTGGTGGGACAATACATCGATACGACCGCCTGGATGCCGAATGGACGAGAAGTGGTGACGAAAATCCGAACTTTGTAGCTCAAAATTTTGGGACCTTTGCATCAAAGGGGGGACACTGTATACTTTATGTGATCGATACCTTGGGTCTGACAAGGACTGAAAGGTCAACATAGCCGTGACTTGCTGGATATATAGCTTGCAACAAGAGAGACCCTGCTTCTCTTAGCTCTTGGTGTGAAGTATTTATTCCTTAGATTAGATACAATGGGATAGCTAGATATCAGAGACTCAGTTGGGTTCCTTGGACGATGAACTGAATAAATGTTTGCCGCTTTGGACGCTCCATTCGTTCCCTGTTCCGGTGGCGCCACGGGCCCAATAGGTGAAGCTCTCAGATCCCATGCCGCTGCCCCAGGGAATTTGAGGCGTCATTGGACCCACCTTCCAAAGAGGTTCTGCTGAGGGTTCTACTGAGAAGATGAATAACAAGACATGACTTGACTGGAGAAAAGACTTTTTGGATGTGACATGAAAGCTCACCCCGACTTACGGAGAAGGGGATCTTTCTGTGAGATTCGGACAACGAGTTGTGCCATGATGTCTTTCCAAGGCAAGGCAGCCTTAGCACCTACCTCATGCAACAGCTGGAGAAAGAGTGCGAGGCCCGCACGAGGCTCTTGATTTGCATACGCCTCCTAATTTGCTTTGAGGCTGATATTCCGTCCTAGCAAGCCACCGAGGTCTAGTTATATATATGAACCCACGTCCCCGGGTGTTAAGATGTTGGTTCCGTATGTTGGAACCGTAGTGTTTGGGCTTAAGCTCGTATGGATCGGTGCTCGTCGTGCCATCTCTACGACAAGCCCCGTGAGGATTCGTTGTGCCGAGGTTGCCGTTCCGTCCGGAGGATTCGTGATTTCTTCTGCGGCGGCTTTCTCCTGAGGAATCAGGAGGCGAGGGCGGTAGCAGCCCTTAGAACTTGTGTCGGAGAGCTCACAGATTTGGCTGAGATCGCCGCCCCCTTGCTGGAGAAGGGGAAGACCGAAGCAAGTCCGCCTGAAGAGGGAGCGAAAGGAGCATCCGGGACGCCATCGGCTCCTGACATTGAGCAAGCGGCATCAGGTGGAGGAACTGCAACCGAGGCACCGACCATCAAGACAGAGGTAGTCGACAAGGAGGAGAACGCCAACGAGGTACCAGGTGTTAGCGAGGTAGTTGAGAAGGAAGAGGATCCATCAGAGAAGAAGGCAGGAAAAGAAGAAGAAGAGAAAGAAGAAGCACCCCGACCAAAGGCCTTCACAGAGAAGGGTTGAGAAGAAGGAGAAAAAGGCCAGGGAGCGAGAGGCACAGATCGCCGAGGACAAAAAAGAAAGCCTACCTGCATCTGAGGAGGCTATAGCGGCTCGGGTTTTAGACCGGCTTGCGATCACTGCCCCATCGGCAGTTGGGCTAGTTCCTGTTCCAAGAGGAAGTGTCGCCCGTCATTACGAACATCTACCACCGCCTCCTCCGGCGCCCAAGCGGCCCAGGTCACCCGACCATCCGCCTGGCAGGAGAGACGAGCGTAGCAGGTACCCAGACAAGCGTGGACGGCAAGCACACAATACAAGGAGCAGACCGTCAGGTCAGAAGAAGCGTGGATCGAAGGGCGCCAAGCATCGTGAACGAGGAAGGACGTGGCCTTTCCGCGCCCCCTACTGAGCACGATGGCGCCAAAAGCACGACCGGCAGCAAAAGGCAAGGCCAAGGCCAAAGCCGTGGTGGTGCGACCGATGAGAGAGGACAGAGGACGAGTGGGTGCTTTGAGGAGACCGGCGGGAGCTCCCCCAGGCGGGGGGGCTCCTGGGGCGTTGGCTCGCTGGTCAGCGGGCGAGGAGGTCAGGGTGTCAGAGATCCCAATCGACCACGTTGGGGTTGGGACGATGGTCGAGGTGACCGATGGAAGCTACTTCGGGTCACCGTGCAAGCTCAAGTTGACAGGCACCATGAACGAGGAGTTGCTCAAGCACCAGACTGGAAACCCCTCGCAGTTGGTGAGGGCGCACCGCTGCCCGCCCGATTGCGCGGGAGATCGCATGGCTGCGGACCTCCTGCGCGCCTACAAGATGAGGAAGCTGGGCCTGGCCCACCCGGAGGAGGGGTGGGCCAGGAATCTTGTGGTGGTGGACGCCGACGACGAGCTGGGAGCCCTCAGGTCTCGGGGCGAAGCTCTCGCTCCTGTCGACCCCGGGAGCGAGAGAGATGTCGAGAAGAAGGACGAGAAGGTCAAAAAGAAAGAAAGGAGTTCGAGCAGGAAAAGGAAGAAAGACAGAGACAAGAAGAAGCACAAGAAGTCAAAGAAAAGAAAGAAGGGCTCCGGGGCAAGTGTCAGTTCGGAGGGGCGTGGCCGCAAGAAGACAAAGGAAGAGGAAGACAAGAAGAGACGGAGATCATCGACCTCGAGCAGCCGGTCCCTTCAGCTGAGTGGCAAGCATCCTCGAGCAGCATCAACCAAGACGTACGATTCCCTCTACTCAGGTACCGGCTTGGACAAGAAAGAGAGGATCAGAAGACGCGTTCTGAAGAAGGCCAAGCGCGCTGCTCGGAAAAAGGCCAAGGAGAGATCATCAGACGGGAGCGACAGCTCCTCGGACCACAGTGGGACAGACTTGGAAGCAGAGGCCGAGGACACGCTATTCGACGGGGAGACCAAGGTGCAGAGGATAGCGCAACGGTGCCCAGGGGCACTGGCGTGTCAGGCATTGACTATGATGCGTTCCAACCTCCTGCAAGAAGCGGGAGCCGACCGCGAGGGGGACTCCTTGGAGCCCATAGCGCTCATGTACATGAGGCAACACCTCTTCAAGAAGGCCAATGGGCCGGCTCTTCGGGAAATCCTCACCCTTTCAATAGCAGTGGACCAATTACTCAATGCTCGGCCAGCACGAGCGCTGGATACGCTGTTGCAGAGACTGAAAGCGGTGGAAGCTGGCCTGAACGGTGCCCACTGGTCGGTGGCTCAGAAGCTAGAGGTGGGGCCCACCGAAAACTTGACGCTCACGGGCCAAGAGGAGCTGAGCCCAGCTCAAAAAGAAGCTTATTCGGATGCACGGACGAAGATGCTGGCAGGCCTTCCCGAGGGCCGATCAAAGGGTTTCTCAAAAGGAGGCTCAAAGAACAAAGACGAAGGCAAGCGAGACAGAGATCGTGGACAAGGGAAAGGCGGCGGAAAAGACATTGCAAGGCAGCCCACAAGGACGAGCAGGCCAGCAAGTAGCGGCTCCTGGTTGCGGGAGTTCTGAGATTGAGTATGAGGCGACGTTGAATTTTTGGTCGGCTGGCGGTGCGAGGGATCGGCCGGGAGAGGCTGAGTTCGCACTAGACGGCCAAGTTGAGCAGCTGACAAATCCCCCACAGGCTGTTGTAGATCAGCCAGTGGATGAGGCCTCTTTCATAGAGGCCCATGGATGCAGCACTTTCCCGCCAATGCCCCCGCCATTTGTTTGCGAAGCGGGTACGGCGAAGGCATCGGACCTCGTGAAGAGCGATGCAAAAAAGGAGCGCATGGGGAGTGAGTTCGTGGGTCGATCGATTGGCGAACTGGGGGCTGGGTGGTTCAGAGGTTCTTGGAGGTGGTCCCACTTCGCAGCATGTTCACGGGCAAAGGTGGCGCTAGAGATATTTCCCCTTTGCCTACCTCCTTTGACTTCTTGGGGAGCCTCTGGCCTTCTAGATGCCGAGAACAGATCGACTGGATGGTGTGCATGACTACTGCGCTGAATTCATTTTGGGGTGAGGAACTTTTTGGAAAGGACGAAGCTTCTGAGATTCAAATCAAGGTGCTTAATATTTTGGTAGGTGAAGTTGAGAGGTTCTGCAATCTGGGCTTGGAAACAGTAGGCATTGACTGGGGGTCTTTCTTTGCTGTCAAGAGCATTGATTATAAAGGGGATGAGGTGAAGGTGGCTCGATGGATCAGTTGGGACAACATCGAACCAGCTCTTCCAAAGGAGATCGGAGCAGTGCCTCTGGAAGAGGTGTGCTCTTTGCATTGCAAAACGTATGTGACCTCTTTTGATCGTTACCTGAAGCCAAAGCATCTTTGGGGAAAGATTACACGGCCTAGGGTCATGGTGGATGATCAGGACTGGGGCAGGATGCGCCGAGGGTTCAGTAGCACCTGGTATCCTTGCCCTGAGGTCGGAGTACGAGCGTTGGGACGTCCCCAGGAATGCCAAGAAGTCAGTGGAGCGATCAACACGCTGTGAGCTCCAGGGCGCAACGGTTGATGGTGTGCAAGGGCTCGCCTATCCCAAGGAGAGCAAGCTGAGCAAATACGTGAGCATGGGGATGAAGCTAGTGGAACAACGCTATGTCACCCAACGGCAGATGCAAGTGGTATGCGGTGGCCTGGTCTACTTCTCCATGTTCAGGCGGCCATTGCTAGGCTTGCTGAATGGTGTGTGGCGATTCATTGAATCCTTTTGTGAGAAACAGCAGAAGTATCTGGCCTTGCCCAAGGAGTGTCGGTTCGAGATCCTACGGTTCATTTGCCTTGCCCCTAGTCCGGATGAACTTTCGGTGTGATGTTGACCCCATGGTTACCTGCTCGGATGCATCACTCTCCGGGGGCGGAGTGTGTCGGTCAGTACAACTCACCTCTGTTGGCAACATGGTTCTACAAGGTGGTCTTCGAGGCCAACGCCCCCGCCCAGCGGAACAGTTCCAGGTGGTTGTCATAGGGTTATTTGACGGGATCGGCGCTCTCCGAGTGGCCATGGACCTTCAGGGGGTCTCGGTTGTGGGTTATGTGTCCGTTGAGAAGGAAGCACATGCCCGCCGTGTCATCGAATCTCACTACCTGGGAGCCCTGCGCTACCATGACGTGGCCACTATCACTGCAGACGTGGTCGAGGCTTGGTCACTGAAATTCGCGCAGGCTGACTTAGTGGTGGTGGGCGCTGGCCCACCGTGCCAAGGAGTTTCGGGACTGAACTCCGACCGCAAGGGGGCGCTTCGTGATGCTAGGTCTTCACTCTTCGTCCACGTGACCCGGATCGCAACGTTAGCCCGTCAAAGCTTCCGTTGGTGTCAGGTCCACACCTTGATGGAGTCGGTAAGTTCCATGGATGCCATCGACAGGGATATCATGAGCGATGACTTCGGAGGGAGGCCGGTGCACATCGACGCTGGGCGGATGACATGGTGTCATAGGCCAAGGCTTTACTGGACGACGTGGGAGCTTCAAGAAGGAGAAGGCGCTACCCGCGTTCACGGCAGTCCGAGAGGAAGAAGGAAGGGTATCTTGACGCCCGACTCACACTGATTGGTAACTCTTGGAGTGTGCCGGTAGTGGGGTGGCTCTTGAGCCAACTGCTAGCGTTGCTGGGAGTATCCGAGAGCCTTAGCCCCCAACAGGTTGTGGATCTATGTCGCCCAGGGGGGTCTGATTCCCTCCAGGGGCGGTTGGTGCGCCTTCCACTTCGTCGTGCTGGTCAGGGTTCCGGTTCACAGTATGACCTTGCGTTCAAGCTGTGCAACTTAGTCAGTATGAAGGGAGAGGACATTCTTCTTTCGACGCCCAGTTCTCAGCTGGTGAAGTACCACCGCCTCCGCGCCTTTGTCCCGGCCAAGCTGTGGAAGTGGAGTGTGGTGTCCGGCTGGAAATGGCGCCGGGGTAAGGAACACATCAATAGCCTGGAGCTTCGTGCAATTCTCAACGCCGTGAAGTGGCGTATTCAACATTGTGGTCAACTGGGAAGGCGCCTGCTGCATTTGACTGACTCCCTAGTGTGCCTGCATGCTCTGACCCGAGGACGCACCAGTTCTCGGCGACTCCGGAGCACCATCCGTATAAACGCTCTTGTTCTCTGTTCTGGCTCTCAGTTCGTTTGGTCGTACGTGTCGACGGATACCAACCCTGCCGACAAACCTAGTCGGTGGGGAAAGCAGCTGAAGACGAAGTATAGACATGCCTAAGCGAATCTTGGAGGGCGGAACAGAGCGAGAGCGAGCAAAGATGCGGCAGAAGTTGGGGAGTTTAAAACAGTTGACAGTGCAGCCGGGTACTCGAAAAAGATACGACCTCGCGGTGGATGCGTTTCTCAGTTTCCTCAAGACGGAGCACCTTACCTTGCCCAAGGAGAAGAAGAAGTTGGACCCGCTGGTCTGCGACTACTTGGAGCATCTCTGGTTTAGTGGCAAAGGACGCGGCCTCGCATGTGACACCCTAGCAGGGTTGCAGGACATGCGACCGGGGTTGTGAAGCCATCTCCCTGCGGCCTGGCGGTTACTCCGCACGTGGCAGCACAATGAGATCCCCAGTCGCGCTCCGCCCCTGCCGGAGCATGTGGTCCAAGCCATGGCCGGATGGGCCATCTTTAAAGGCTGGCACTCATTTGCTCTGTCACTACTCGTGGGGTACTACTCCATGTTGAGGACAGGTGAAATCCTGGGGCTGCGAGCGAAGCACCTTGAGTGCGCAACATCCTCCCTCCAGGCTGTCATAAGCCTAGGCTACACCAAAGGAGGCAAGCGACAAGGAGCCGCAGAAAGCGTAGTGCTGGGTTTAGAGCCCATTGTCTTTCTTGTCAAAGCCTGGAAAAAGACAGTCGCTGAAGGCACTAGCCTCATCCCCGCCAAAGTGGCGCCAATTGTTTAACCAGGCCTTGGAAGCACTCGGAATCTCAGATTTTAAGTTCCGCCCCTACTCGCTCCGGCGGGGAGGGGCGACGTTTTTCTTTGCCAAGCACCAAAACCTGGACAGGATCCTGTTGCAGGGTCGCTGGCACACCCAGAAGAGTGCCAGGATCTACATTAACGAGGGGTTGTCTGTGCTGTCTGAGATGAAAATTCCCCCTCAGGACTCTAAGCTGAAGCCTTTCCTCACTGTATATAAGAGTTTCTTACTCCGTCCGATCTTCCACTTGAGCCTCCTGTCGGAAGGGCAGGGGGGCCGTGGAAGGAAGTCGAAACCGACTCGCAAGAGGAGAAAATGAAGTTGAATGAAGTTGGAGTTTGAATTTTTTCTTAACAACCTGTCAGGGCAGTACGACTACTGGAGGCTAGGAGGTCTGGCTCGCTGAAGGTAGCGTACTCGAGGGATTCCACTCACCCCGGGTGTGGCCGGGTGAGCTGGATCGCCTTCCCCCAAGGAGGGAACATAAGGGGGTCTGACGTGGTTGTTTCATGGTGTTTTCGATTGTTTGATGTTTGACAAATAGCTGCGAAGTGGTCCAAAAAGGAGGAACTGGAACATCTTTATATATATAAGTTATATAGTATGTATTTCGTAAATCGCTCGTCTTGGAGAAATCCAAGTGGAAGACTTCGACAAGCAGGGCAACAAGAACTTTCTCCCCAATCACCTCGTTTGAGGCAGAGGAACTTCAACTCAGCTGCGCCGCTGTGGAACGAGGCCGTTTGACACCGCGCCCATGAAAACACAGTGCGAAGTCACGGTTGGCAGTGTCGTCTGAAGGGGTTCCTGGGATTCCCTCATTCATGATAGGCACGCTATTAGGTTGGAGGCCATCATCAGAGTAAACATGAACTTGTTCGTCCATTGAAGACCTTCGGTTCGAGTTTATCTCAGCATGGCTCTCGAACGAGCCCGGGACATGGAGCGCAGCGATGTCTTCTCGCGAGCCCAAAAGTGGACGTCATCGCAGTCCAGATGATGACCGCAAACGAAGACGTGAGAAGAAGGAGAAGGAGAAGGACCGAGAGAAGGACCGTGGGGACCGCGGCCGTCGAGACAAGGACCGGGGCGATCGTGATCGCGGCGATCGGGATCGAGGCGATCGGGATCGAGGCGATCGGGACCGAGGCGATCGCGACCGAGGTGACCGGGAGGAGCGACGACTGAGGAGGTCGGACAGAAGTCGAAGTCGAAGTCCACCAGCTCCATCACCTCCGAAGGTCGTGAAATCCACGAACTGGAAGGAGGAACAAAATGAGGGTGAAGATCTTCGAGACCACTCAGATGATGAGGAGACAGCAGCCCGGAAGCTGGAAGAAAGCCGAAAGCGCCGAGCGGCCATGATCACACAGGCGAAGGAAGAGAAGGAAAAGAAAGAACAAGAGGAGAAAGACAAGGACATTTCCGGTGAAAACGAAAAGGCCAAAGAGGAGCCTTCCGCCAATGATGTCAGTGAAATGAAGATTGAAAAAGACGAGAAAGGAGAAAACGGAGAGGAAGATGAGACTCAAGAGAAAGAACCAGAGGTGAAAGATGGTGGTGGCGACATGTTTGACCTGAACTTGGACGCCAAGGAGCTCAAGGCAGGCCAAAAACGGACACAAAACATTGCTACCACTGGTGCATCAACCGAAGATTGGGATGATGAAGAGGGCTACTACATTGCACAAGTGGGTGAGCTGTTGGAGAGTCGCTACCTGGTTCAAGATACGGTCAGTGGGAGAGGTGTGTTCTCCAATGTGGTGAAAGCCAAAGACACCAAGACCGAGGGCGAACCTTTAGTGGCTTTGAAGATCATTCGCTCCAATGACATGATGAAGAAGGCAGCCGAGAAGGAGATGGAGATCCTCCAGATGCTGAACAATGCGGACAAGGCCAACAAGAGGCACATCGTCCGTCTCATCGAAACCTTCTATTATCGGAAGCACATCTTCATGGTCTTTGAGTGCATGGCAGAAGACCTTCGTGGAGCTCTCAAGAAGTACACCAAGAACAGGGGTATGTCAATCATGGCGGTGAAAGGATACACAAAGCAGCTGTTGATCGGGGTTCGACACATGCACAAGTTCAACATCATCCATGCTGACTTGAAGCCTGACAATATTCTCATCAGTCAAGACAACAGCATCGTGAAGCTGTGTGATTTTGGCACGGCCGTTGAGCAGAAAGACATCGGTGTCTCCCCCTATTTGATGAGCCGCTTCTATCGACCTGCCGAGGTCATTCTGGGCTGTGAGTATGGTGTGCCCGTGGATGTTTGGGCTCTGGCTTGCACCCTCTACGAGATCTTCACCGGCAAGACCTTGCTCCAGGGGAAGACCAACAATGACATGCTCAAGCGGATCATGGACCTGAAGGGCAAAATCCCCAAGAATGTCATCAAGAAGGGTGCAGTGTGGAAGAATCACTTTGATGAGAACCTAGATTTCAAGTTCATTGACAAGGATTCCATGACGGGTGAAGAGATCACTCGAATCATTACCGACAACAACTGCAAGAGAGAGCTCAAAGAGTTTCTGCTGGACCGTGTGGGTCCAGAAAAGCAGAAATCTCAAGAGCGAGAAGATCAACAGTATCCGGGTTGTGGTCTAAGAGAGCATTTTGTATATTTTTCCTATTTTGAGAATGTTGCCATCCCAAGCGACTGTTTTAAAACTTGTTTCAAACGATTGTCAAACGATCATAAATCATTCAAACCAGGTATGTGAAGAAGACGGTTCACTTTGCAGACTTGTTGGACAAGATGCTGGCGCTAGACCCTGAGAAGCGCTTGACGGCAGAGGATGCCCTCAAACATCATTTCGTGGAGGATCCGAAGGCCCAGAAGGCCGCAGCGGGCGCCGCAGCGGGCAAGCGTGCCTGAGGACAGGTCTCGTTTACCTTGCGAACAATGACATTCCATAAGTGGCGGGAAAAAGTGCAAGCAGAGCGCCGGAACCCGGGTTTTTGACGGTCGTTGAAAGACCAGTGGCTGAGGTGTGAGGATCCAAGCAAACCCGATGCCCAGACAGATGCTGAGTTACTCAGTGCGAGGCGATGCATCGATGCCAGCACCCGCCAAGAGGCATGCCGGATCCTGCTTGGCGTGGTATTTTGAAGACAGCTAGATGTGCTAGGCTATTGCGGCTCAATGCCTTTGCCCACCCAGCTTGTGACATCTGAGCTTGTGTGAAAGGGGCTGTTTAGGGTGAGCACTGAGCTGTTGGCGGCAACGGTTTCAGCCGGTCAGGCAGAAAGTTCACGTGGCGTCCTCAGCTTGGGAATGCTGAAGTCACGTCTAAGCCGCCCGTATCACCCAAGACCACCCACCCAGCAACTGAAGTGCACCTATGATTCCAGACTCCAGAAAGCATTAAAAAGCCCTAGCCGCAGAGGTCCAGCCTAACTACAGACCAATCTCTTTGACTTCTTCTTCTTCTTCTTCTCATACACACAAGACGAGCAACAGTGCATGGAAGCAGTTTCTTAAGACCTGTTTCTTTCTTTCGTAGGTCATGCTTTTTTTGTTTGGTCAAACGCCAAACGCCTAGCCGCGCAACAGCACTTTTGGACCGCTCTTTGCCCGCAACATCCGCGTTTGCTGCCCTTCGCTCAGGACGGAGGTGAAGAGTTCACCAATGAGGACGGCTGTGGGTCACCCCCACAGGACCATTGTTATTTTTCAACACGTGTAAATCAAGTACGAATGCCGGTGCAGTAGTCTTTCGACTGCAAAGCTTCCAAGCAGGACATGCATTCTCATACAGATGGTTTCAAGCTAGTTCTCGTTGTGGCGCATGAGCACTCTGGAGTCGGAGGTGCATTATTTTGGAGCAAGGCACGAAGGTCCCAATTCACATCTGACCCTTGTTTCAACGGTTTAAGATGTAGGTAGGTGATTCCTTTTTTGTAGACTTGATGCCTTCACTTGCGTTACTTCCCTCCATGCTGCTGGGATCTCGTTTGGCTCCTCGTCAGGACTACTACGACGTCAGCGACACCGAGGCTGGCAGCGATGACTTCGCAGTGAGGCTGGCAGCGAACGGGGCAGACTGGGCAGCGCAGGACAGATTGTCAGAACTTACATGGACCGCTGCCCTTCTTTCTTGGAACTCCGACACTGGACTTTGTCTATTCCTGAACACAATGATGCGATTTCCCTCCTTGGTGTGACTTCTCCCCAGACGGCACAATGCACGGGAAGGGGGGCAAAGTCTCAGAGGCAAACACTCTTCGCAACATAGGTACAAACCAACACAGCACAAACAACTCATTGCCTCAATGGACTTTGGGGCTGGCTCATTTGCTCCAAGCTCTTTCTTCAACAGCGCTTTGCCCTTTATGGGCACAACCTGACAAGGGTGGTTCCACGGTTGGTGCGGGCACAACACGAAAAGACAGCATTATTTGTTCGTGATAGGCTGTGACAGCTTTTGGGAGCAATTCAACAGTAGCAGGACGGTGATGTCACGGCCTCTTTGCATCTCCTCGATCATACTGTAACTTGGAGGATCGGTCCGTTCAAAGGAAACATGTGCAAAATTGAAACTGGTTTGGGAATCTTCGGATCATTTTTGGTTCCTTTGACCATTGGCCCCACAATGCTCAGCACCCGTGTTTACGTGAGGCGAGCCAAGTTCCTCAAAGCAATGCGCGATCGCTTTGTCGATGGACTCGAAAGGTGCCTGATGGGGAGGGATCCCAGCGGTACCCGCATGTACAAATTCACCAGATTTGGGGGTTTGGCTGTTTCGCTTTTGCTTTTTGAGCCACCAGCCAGGCCAGCCAGGCTAGCCAGTGTTTTTCTTGCAGATTTCCTTAGTAAGCCTTAGTAGCGAATTCCAGAAAACATCTTTCCAAAGGGCCACGAAGGTCCTCGTCCTCCACCAGGAACTTCGACTATGCCGCGCTGGACGAGGACTCCGAGCTGGATGACGTGGTGGAGATGGGACGCGACGCGGAGGAGCGGGGACGAGCTGAGGACGTTCCAGTGGCGCTTTAGGATTTCCGGCGCCCTCGTACTTGCATGACCTTGGTTGGTTCTTGTTTGCTATTGTCATCCTCCAGCGTTGGACGTTGTTCTTCATGAATCCTCCAAAGTGGAGATTCCAAACTGTTGGATTTTTTACTGTTGGGGTTGGGATGGGCTCACTCAAGACGAATAACTACAGAATTGGAGAAAAGGAGCCTTACTCCATTGGTCTTTTGAAAAAGCGCAAGAATCTTGGGGATTGTAGGTAGTTCCTGCACCAGGAGAAGTACTTTGATGCAGAATGAAACTGGCGCCACCTGCGGTCGTGAGCCACCTGCGGTCGTGACTTTGAATAGCAAACAACATGGCAGCAATAAAATGTTCCTGCATTTGCCCCAGTATGTTTGAGGGTGCTGAAAATGCTTTGAGGTTAAGAACGCATTACATGCATTCTCTTAAGTCTTGATTTCTTGACATCCTGAAGCTTCTCAGATTCTTGACTATGCTGGAAATTACATTTTGATGCAGGGGCAGACTTGCCGATCAAGGTGAAGTTGCCATCCCTTGGATAACGACCATTCTCTTGAGTTGCGGTTGTGCTCATGCTTTTTTAGCGTGGTTGAAACTAACAAGTAAGTCGTTGAAACCAACAAGCAATGATGATAGTGTGCCACACTGTTTGCCTTTGCCAGCTGAAAGATGTGGCTGGTGCAGAAAGCTGATGAAGTGGGAGCGTTTCCCACCACTAGCTCGAGCGATGCGATTTCTCAAGTCTGACATCATGTGACGCACCAAACGGACACGGGTATCTAGCCGAATCTACCCAACCAAGGACGCGTGGGATTCTGGTGCTTGCAAACTTTGCGTTCACGTCGCGCATTGCTCTGGTTTAGGTCCAGCGAGATACAGGTCGTGTAGCGATAGTTGAAAATGGTTGGGGCAGCTCTCGATTCAACATCTGAGTGGACTGGGTCTGACAATTGTTGAGCCGAGGAGATTTATTGTTTTGGGCTTGTGGTGTTTTCACAGGCCGAAATGGTAAAGAACATTAACTAACCATTTGCAGTAGCTGATGATGCACTTATTGAACCTATAATTGAAAGGATGTTTCAATAATGATGACCAGGCCATGAGCGCTTCCAGCTTGACAGCAGCCACGTATACGCATACATCATAGCCATTTCTCCACTAGCTTTGGTCAGCAGCATTTCAGTGATCAAGTGGGTTGATCGGCTGCCCTTCTCCAAGATCTTGCCGCCATGCCCGTGGGCACTTCCAACAAGGCCAAGCTGAGAAGCTGGGTGCGACCAAGTGGATGGCAGGTGTAGCTGGCGACCGAACGGAACCAGTAGACTTAGCGCTGGACATGTTCAGCCTCGCTTTTCGGAACGTTGCCTTTGGTGGGGGCACCAAATGGTGTTTCAACTAGCATCTTGACACCTTTCTTTCCGGCACTCGCCTCTCGCACAGACATGATTCAGTGCAGGAGCCCTTATCCAAAAACGCTTGATTCCGGGAATTGATTAGTTGCTTGTCAATGTTCCTGCCCATTACTATAGACAGAAAAAAGTGTTGTCTTGTTGAAGTCATGCTTGGCAGGCTTCTACGTCATTGCTTATGGATCAGATTAAGCTCCCGCCGTCCCCAGCCAAGCACTGATATGTGACCTGAAACCCGTGCTACGGGGAGCGAAGGCACAGAACGATGTGATCCGCAAGAAAGCGGCAAGTGGGAAGAAGGCTGGGCTGGACGCTCATGTGGATACCCCAAATCACCCTTTTTTCTTCAGGACATGGGTCTAGAGAATCCTTGAGACTAGGTTTTCTTGGCTGTGGGAAAACTCAAGTAGAAAAAGGAGTTCATTCATGCTTACTTGGTATTTGGGGACATTGACAGAGCTTGACTAAAACACTTTGACTGTGACGCAGTAAAAGTCTAAGCTTGGATGGCCTCAAGCGTGCCCCAGCCGTAGCTTCAACACATCACGCGCGAAGTTCAAGGAAACCGTCTCTTCATCTGCGACCGCTGGGGGGAATCCTCCCCTGCGACCCGTGCGCAAGCCAGCAAGCCCGACGGGCCAGGAGATGACCGATGAGGTGCGGTCAGACTGCGCGGCCCGAGACATCGAGACTGGATGACGGATTTGTTCCGTTCGTAGCGATGCCAGGAGCCCCTAGTAGCTTCTTGTTCCTAGTAGTATGGCCAGGAGCCCCTAGTAGCGTCCTTGCTACTGGAGGTTTCAATGATGAAGACCTAATTCAATATGTTTTAAGACTCATGTTTTTCCTGCTGAATCTTCTTGTGCATAGTCTTCTCTGCTCTCAGATTCATTTGCCACCTACACATCCAGAATTATGTCGTGGGAAAACAGGCAAAGTTGAGGTAGACAAGTGAAGCACAGGAAGTTTGGACCATTTCAGCCTCGTGCATGTTGGAGGAGCCTCCCTGTTATAGAGATCAAGTTTTAAGTCGCGTACAGACTCCTGAACTTGTGGCTGGATGCCCCAGAACTGCAGGATATGGAGTTCAAGAAGAAGCAGGTGTGGAGTGCAGCTGCAAAACATTAACGAGTATCTAACCGTTGGACCTTGAACCCACAGCACAGCACAACCAGAGAATGTTGCTCACAAGATATGAATCCTCTCATATCTGGGTTTCTACACCTCTCACTCTTCTTAGAAACACAATCCAAATCTGGACAAAGCATTCTCCGCCCTTGGCACCCGTGTATTGACGACCGGATGTTTCCAACAAAGTCTGCTTTTGGACAGCAAAGAAAGTTCAAGCAAGTACCAACACCAACTTAGTTTTGAGCAGAATGGGCACATACAAATCAGGATTGATTATGGAGTCATGCGGGATCTTCTTGTTTGTGAGTGATCTGATCATAAATCCCCAATGGACATTTTGACGTACATTCACAAGAATAATAATCAGACAAGCCGTGCAGATGTCGACACCCTTTTGCATGGAGATTCATGGAGGAGCTCACAGAGGGATCTCAGATTCTGTGGCGGCCTTTGACGTGCTACAGAACCTCGCAGGCAGAAGAAAAGAAGGCCATGGCAGCTGCAGCCAAGGCGGAGGGTCGCTGCTTTGCCTTTCGGTTTGGCATTGAAAAGTGCTGCTCTCCTGCTTTCCCAGTCACAGGCACAAGCGGTTTGCTAAATTCGACCCTTGGGTTTGACAAGGTTAGAGGGGAGGCCTTTGCAACTGGCTGTGACTATACTATGTCGTAGAGAATTTGCATTGCGACCGACGATCAGTCTATGGGAAAGAAGAAGCACGGAGCCTCAATGTGGGTTTGTATACGTGAGCCTTCCCCCAGCCCCGGTCCTGTGGTGAAATTTCAGCTGTGGTCTCCACGGCATTTGCATTTACCGAAAGTTTGGTGGGATTCGTTCCGAAGTCCTTAAAATCTTCAACATTCTCCTCCTAAAAACAGGCAAGCTCAAAGGGTTTACAGCAAATTTGGAAGCGCACCTTGCGACATTAGACAGCTCACAGCCAGATGGCAGTATATATTTCTGCTCAAGTGAAAGTGAGCCAAAAAACAGAGACCTCATTCAGGCATGCATTTTAACTAGACGCATGATACGTGATGCTGTACATGGACAAGCACTGTTTACCTGTTTACTGCTCGTTTACCGTTTGCAGCCACTGGTTCTCCTAGTTCTCCTTAATTGCCCGCCCGCCTTTACTTTACAACGGATTCCTGGACGTGCCGTGGGACTTCTCTCAGGTGACCGTGATGCTCAACTCAACGAACTCCTGAAGTGGACGCCCTGGAATTCTCGCCATTTCAGACCGGTGGGCCGAACGCGTCCACCGGCAGGCACACAGACTTGAACAGCAGGAAAAAGTGGATATGCAGACCGCATCCTGAGTGCCAGACACCTTCTTTGAGCGAGCCGGAAGCCACGGTCACCGATTTTTGTGTCAATGGACACTCAAGACCGCAAGAATACTAGAAGTGCGATTTTTGCTCCGCATGGACTACGTGCCAGCCCCTGTAGACCATGTGGATCTGGTGGATTCATCAGATTCTGAGTCGACCATGGATCAAGCATGTAAACACTACACCCAGCCGAGCTCCTTGTTCACACAGTGTGTGTCTAAACATGTCTTCATGATTCTTCATGAGTCGTCACCGCGCCGACGATTTGTGGCCCGAAAGCAACATCAAGTAGTCTTAGCTTGACAATGTGACTTAAACTTAGTTCCATGGACCTTTACAACATGCTGGCCGTGCTGGCCTGGTTCCTTTATGTGCGCGTCTCTTTGTCCATGAGAGTTCGTGAAGGTGACGACATCCTCCCCCTCGTTGCACTGTTGAAAGGTGCTGTGGCAAAAGGCATGACTCAAGGCGACGTGTGCACAATGTTGGTAGAGCATAGCAAGGACTTGAAGGATGAGCAGTCGATCTTTCGATTCATCACGCAAGTCTTTGCACTTGGGAGTGACTCCGTTGGAAAACTTCACCCTGTTGCAGTGCTGCGCTGCATGGCTGTATATTTGAAAATGCCACTGAATATCATAGACAGCGACACCAATGAGACTCTGCTGTTCCCAGCTGTGTTGGATCATCAACCAAAATCCGTTCAATATCTTCTTGCCTCAGGGGTGCCGGGAAACTTCAGGAACTCAGACGGTGAAAATGCTGCGGAACTTGCGCTTATATTCTGTCCAGAATGTTTGATAGACTTGCTGACCGGTGGAGTGAATCCCAATGATGAGTTTCAGGAGAGTTGCAGCAAAGCAACCATTTTGCAAGACGAGTGCCAAGCTGGGTGGAATTTGGTGCATTTCGCAGCTCAAGCGGGTGCGGCAACATCATTGAAGAATCTGAAGCAATACGGTGCTGATTTCAATGCAAAGGACCATTTGGGGCTGACCCCTGTTTTGGTTGCGATCAGACGGGGACGCTTGCAAGTGTTGTCAGAGCTTGGACGCCTCGGTGCCAGTCCCCACCTTAGTTGGTCAACATGTTTGGATGGTGGGTTCAATGCAAGATTTGTACATATCATATTGCTCTATACCAGGTTTGGTTGAAGTGACCGGGTCTCAGACCATGTACACCTGATTCTACTGATACATTTGAGTTTCGTTGCCTCTGGCAACACCTGTAGGAACATTCGTCAGTTGATCTGAGTGAGAGCGCACACAGGTTTTTTTCAGCGTCCACAACCAGCGCGGCTGGACTCCAGCTCACTATGCTTGTCGGTACTTGGATGACTCTATTGGTCTGGTCAAGTTTCTGGTGACTTGCATGAATGACATAGTAGATGTGTTTGCAAGGTGCACAGGAATGAAATGCGGCTGTTTCCTATTTGAATGCGACCTTCGCTGGTGCCTTGTTCGCTCAGTGTGTCTGCAGCACGTGAGGCAACCATACAAGAATTTGGTGGCAGCCTCAATGGCACAAACCACGACAACCAGACGCCAGCTCACATTTGTGCAAGCGCACGTATGAATTATCTTGGAAGATCAAATCCAGATGCTCTCAGCTATTTACATGAAATGGCCATCGAATCCTTTCAAGTTCGCGACTCAAACAACCGAACACCAGAAGAGGTGGCAGAGTCAGAGAAGGGCAATGTTGCGGAGATTTTCTTTTACAAAATTAAAGTCAATCAATATGCAAGGCAGGCGGCTAAAGCAAATGAAAGGAAACACATATTTCAAAAGAAGTCCGAGGAGGCAATCAAGTGCAAGGACGGGTTCCACGGGTGCGATGGAATCCTTGAGAGACCGAGTCACAAAAGATGAATAGCTTTGGTTTGGGATGCCCGCTGTGTTCGTGCCGGATTGGCATGCCAATCCCGCATGTAAACGAAGCTTAGAGGCTTTAGTGGGCCGAAAATCAATTCAGGAACCTTGGTGCGATCCAGAATGAATAACTTTTGGCATAATAATTAGATCGTTTTCCTTGTCCGATTCAGAAAGCTTATGCGACTGATTCAGAGTCACAAAATTGTGTCTCGACTCATTTTGATCGGAAACTGCTTTGCCACGGGGTGATGGGTGATCGGGTGGTTTGGTGGGTGGGTGCTATTGACATTCTGCAGGTTGCATTGATCAGTATGATCAGTTCATGCAACAAAAATTGTCCAAGTGTCCTCAGCTGTGGAGTTTGCGCCTGCTGCAGTTTACAAATCCGCCCGCAACTGATGTTCATATCGTTTCATGCATCCAAAGTCTAGCCCAAGGAGGACCACCATGCAACGATTCAACCGGATAGCTCAAGGTCTTTCAACATTTAGAAGCGATCCCATCGAAGTCAACTGTGGTTACGTAGGGGCTTTGCCTCAAAAGATGCTTCTGCTGAGTGAGGAGCCTTCTTTGAAGTAGCTATATTATATAACCGTCATGACTAAGCTTGCAACCTTTCCTTAGCAACAGCAGAAGCTCAACACCTTCGAAGCACTGACAATTGTTCAGTGGGCTGTCAGGAGCTTGAGGAGCAAGTGAAGACCATTTTTGATTGCAGTGGAGACGGGATCAAAGTGCCGCGAGGCAAGGCAAGGAATTGAAGCATCCTCAATAGGCAGACTTGGGTCAGGTTTCATAAGGGGACTTTCCATTTAGTTCAAACTACTCTCCAACTCATTGGAAATACTATCCATGACAGGAATCACAACTGAAATTCATCAAGCCAGTCAAGAGTCAAGGTGCCAATGTTTCTACTTTTGGATCCAGACAGTTATGGTCAATCTCCCACGGGCTGGACCTTCCCAAATCCCGCTGACAGGCGTTATGCTAATGAAAGAATCTCAAGGCGATTGTGGCAAATCACGATGTGCAGCGAGATGCCCGAATGCTGCAGCGTGCCCTGAATGTCAGGATTGTGAGGCTCAGCAAACGCAATGTGCTGACGGATATGATGATGCATCACAAGGTTGTAGCAGGCACAGTGAGCATGGCCGGAAGTACACGTGCTACCACCATCTGAACCAGTGTTTCGACCAAGGGCGGGTTTGTTTGAGGGTTCGCTCGGGAGCGCTCGGTGCTGGATTCCTTGCCAGGCTAACGCAAGAGTTTTCCCTAGAATATTGAAGTGCACAATCTTTGTGCAGGGGCATAGAATACGTGTTGCGGGCTCCTTGCCGTTTCGCGCGTGCGCTCTTGCTTTCGTGTTTTGCGCAGTCTTGAAATGAGAGTGCAGTGCAGACTAAAGATTCCTCATGTTTTGGTGCACTTTTGTGTGGCACACACACACACACTTGGTCACAGGTTCATTCAAGTTCATAATCCACGAGGAAAAGGCGATGGAACGGTAAGGCGAAGTGGTCCGCTCAGTTGAATCTGTTGAACAAAAGTTTGTGCGTGACTGCAGAACGCGCCGGCGGCTCAGCGGCACAGCTGCGGGGGGGAGGTTTAGGGAAATAGCATGAGAACCACCATGGAAACAACAAAAAGCGCGGAAAAAGTGGAGTGGTGTCACGTGCAGGTACGTTGATCCAGCGTCCTGGATCAATTTCACCAGCACACATCCAGTGTCTTCGTTGGTGCAAGACTGGATGGCAATGGGCTGCTTGCACCCCCTGCATTCTTGAATTCGCGCATGCAAAAGAGAACCCATTGGAGCAGGGGGAGACACACACACACAGACAGCCGTTATTCCGGCGCATTACGGCGGCACAGCGCAGGTAAATGGCGGCAAATTACGGTGTCAAGAAACCTGAATAGCCACCTAAAAAGAAGGAAGAAAGACAGAAAGAGCAAACGGAAGAGGGCAAGAGAAAAAGATAGGTGTAGTGCCGTGCACATCTGTCGAGCAAAAGTGCCTAATGAACGGCAAAATACGGGGTCAGACCTTTGCACTCGCATACGAAAGTGAAAAGACTTGCAAAAAAGGTTTGAACCGTGAGCTCGGCAGCATGAAAACCGTTAGCGCGGCCGCTTTGCGATCAGTTGATTCATGGGTGAAACAAAATCAATCTGATATCATAATCCAAGAACTCAAGGCCGCTAAATCGATATGTGATTCACAATGGCTGGCTTCAGTGCCCCGTTGCGGGGGATCACACTGCGCACTCAAGTGGGAAAGCACAGCGAGGCACCCTTAGTCACAGGTTCATTCAAGTTCATAATCCACGAGGAAAAGGCGATGGAACGGTAAGGCGAAGTGGTCCGCTCAGTTGAATCTGTTGAACAAAAGTTTGTGCGTGACTGCAGAACGCGCCGGCGGCTCAGCGGCACAGCTGCGGGGGGAAGGTTAGGGAAATAGCATGAGAACCACCATGGAAACAACAAAAAGCGCAGAGAAAGTGGGTGGTGTCACGTGCAGGTACGTTGATGCAGCGTCCTGGGTCAATTTCACCAGCACACATCCAGTGTCTTCGTTGGTGCAAGACTGGATGGGCTGCTTGCACCCCCTGCATTCTTGAATTCGCGCATGCAACAGAGAACCCTGTGGAACAGGGGGAGACGCACACATACACACACACTTCGACATTGGTTTTCAGTTAGTTCAATTGCCACGATGGGAAGGAAGGTGATGGAACAGCAAGGCGAATGAGTCTGCACAACAGTATTGTTGAAAAAATGTTTCCGAAAGCGCTCAAAAGAAATGACGTTCAGCAGTAGCTGCGATGCGGAGGAAAATGGTTTGTGGGAGGTATCATGAACAACCATGGAAGCAAAAAGTCGAATTGGACAGCGTAGTCAAAAGTTCCTTGGCAGGTACAAGAGCCGGCGTCCCAGCTCTCTTCCAACTGATTTCCGTAGCTTCGTTGGCACGGATGGGTAATCAGTCTCCGTGCCCCCCTGCTTGGAATCACTAATCAGAACCCTTTGAAACAGGGGTTGACACACACACGGTGCCGCTTGGCGGCGCTCGTGTGAGAAACCTGAATAGATACCTAAAAAGCCTTAGAAACGAAAAAAAGAAAGACAGAAAGAGCAGCGCTAAGAGGGCAAGAAAGAAAGATAGGTGTAGAAAAAAGAAAAGTGAATACTTAGCCTTTGACTGGGGTAGGGAAACGAGCCTCAAGAGCAACCTAAAAAGCCTGAGAGAAAGTCCAACAAACGACGGAAAGCGCAAGAAAGAAAAGGGGGGGCAGGGAGGGGGTGTATGTCCATGTGTGTGTGTGTGTGTACGTGTGTGTGTGTGTGTGTGTTTGAATACCTAGCCCTCTAGGATTACTGACTACTTAGCCGAAACTAATTAAAGCCGTTTTTAAGCCCGGCGGCTGGTAAATTCGTTTTATAGCCCGACGGCTGTATGAGCAGTGAATTCAGGGTAGAGAAAGATCAAAGAAGGAAAGTCAGTGAAGGGGAAGAGTCAGTGGCTCAATTTCCAGCATGAAAACAGCGCCTCCTTGCGGAGGACCCAGCGCCCAAGTGGGACGGCTGAGCGGCTCACACTTCGACATTGGTTTTCAGTTAGTTCAATTGCCACGATGGGAAGGAAGGTGATGGAACAGCAAGGCGAATGAGTCTGCGCAACAGTATTGTTGAAAAATGTTTCCGAAAGCGTTCAAAACAAATGACGTTCAGCAGTAGCTGCGATGCGGAGGCAAATGGTTTGTGGGAGGTATCATGAACAACCATGGAAGCAAAAAGTCGACTTGGACAGCGTAGTCAAAAGTTCCTTGGCAGGTACAAGAGCCGGCGTCCCAGCTCTCTTCCAACTGATTTCCGTAGCTTCGTTGGCACGGATGGGTAATCAGTCTCCGTGCCCCCTGCTTGGAATCACTAATCAGAACCCTTTGAAACAGGGGTTGACACACACACACACGCGCACAGAGAAGACCGGGTTTGCTTCGGATTTTGTGGCAGGTGCAATACTTAGGATATGCTGGTGATGTCAGTGATGTTTTAAAAGCTCAGATTCCGCTGCTGGACGTAGTGAATCGTTATGTATATTGGGCTTACTTTTGCGGAAACGATCGGAAAATAATTTCGTTTCAAAGTTTGTGGCAGACGCATTTCGTGGTGGTCGAAGTGCAGATTTCGTGGCACCACCGGGGCCCGCACCGCGAACCATCACTGCCATTCCTCCACCGCCTCCACCATACCACCACATCCTTTACCACCACCAGCTCCACCTCCGCCACCGTCCCACAAATTGATTGAGATCTCTTTTCAGGGATAGAGTTGGTTATGTTTGATGATTGCCCAAGTAAGTGGTTCCTTCGAAACTACCCATGAATTCACTCGCAATCTTCCGATTTGTACTGATCATGCGCAGCGTGGGCAGGTGCCAAGCTGGCTACGGCCGTCGCAGAGAAGATCCATTTCAGTGCAAAGCATGCGGTGAAATACCGTGGCTTTCCTGGGTGACCTACGTGGTGAAACCTTTGGGAATCTACCTGGTCAGCCTGTGGACGGCACATAAGAAAAGGGACCGGACCGCTTCTCTTCTAAAGATTTGGATGGCATTTGGCATCGTCATGGCATCCATTTCGCCCAGCATTAAATCCTCTGATACGTTTGCAAAAATACACACTTCATTGGTGCAATCTGTGGAAGCAGGCCTGGAAGCCTTTTCCATGAAATTACAGTATGTTGCAGTACGCATTTTAGAATTACCAAAACGGTTTGCACCTTTCTTTCAATATATGTATATATATTATAGATATAATTGTTAAATCTTGCAATATAGACACCAATTGCGCGTGCTCTGGTAAGCGTGTGTTTGTGCAGTTCAGGTGAAGGTGCAGCTTCCCTTGCCGCCCAAATGACTGGTGCCAGCTTTGATTGCTTGCTGGACAACCCACATGCTTCGATGACAGCCTGGTTGGGCCTATCATTTGCTCCACCTTTGGTCTTGTGGCTTCTGACAATGATCTATGTGGTCGGTCGCTCCATGAGCGCAGGGTCAGGGATGGTGAGCGCACTGACCAAGGACGCTCTAAAGGTGACCATTGTGAGCACCAATTGCTTCCTGCCAGACATGGTGGCAGCTTTGGTGCGCTTCGTCCCGTGCATCCATTTCCAAGTCTTTGATCAAAGCAAGCAGTATTTGCAATTCAACGTGGAGACTCAGTGCAGCCAGGTCGTTGGAATGAGGCTTGCAGCGGTTTTTGCCGCCATCCTTCTTGGCACTGTGTTAGGTCCTGTGTATTGGGTGGCCGTCATCATGAAGTCCAAGCAATGGGAAGATCGTGAGGAGGTGCTGGGTTTTCTCATCTCTCATTATCGGGACAAGGCGCTGTTGGCACATGTTGTCATTGTTTGTGCTTTTATAAAAAGAAAAACATGCTGCTGCTGCTTGATTGCTTGTATATATATATATATATAGTCTAGTCGTAGTTTTGCGTTCATTTTGCTTTTGGCAATGAAGATGCTGTCACTGCGCAAAGCTGCTGGTCGGACAATATGTTCATGCCACATTTGAAGTGCTTTAGGTACGCTGGTGGGAAGCTACCGTTCTTATTCGCAAATGTGCATTGGCTGTAGCCGTTACCCTATTTTCTGCAAGTTATGCACCCATGCTCTACCTTTCTTCCATACTCCTTATTGTTGCTCAGCTCGCACTTGTGTATTCGTTGGCGAGGAATTTTGCCTTACTTCACACAGCTCCATTTTGGGGTCAAATTGAAGAACGTAGCAACGCATTTGCCGGAAGTTGCATGCTGAGGTTGGCCTTGGCCTTGCATGTCACTCATACGTGCTTCCTTATGACGACAGTTTCTTGAACCGGCTCGAGTTTGGCACCCTCATGGCATCATTCATAGCTGTTCCTCCGGCCGCAACAACGTAGTCCACGTCCTGTAGACAGAACTTCATAGCATGCATGAGGCATCCTTCATTGAGGCCCTTGGCGGCCCGAACTTGGGAGAACTCTCTATATAGATTATAGATACTTATGATACTTAATCTTTTGGTTTGTTCAGTAAGAGCAATATTGGAGCCGTGAGAAGTCTTGGCAGCCCTCCTTTGAACAACCTGAGCTTGGCATGTTGAGGTCTTTTGCACATTCCTTCTGCAGCTGGAAATGGTTTCTTGGGCCGTCGATGATACAGTCGCTTGCCAGAGGTACACTTTGCACCTTTGAACTCGAGTGCCATGATTGTCATTGCCCCTCGCGTGGATTGTTTGTCCGAGGTCACTATTCCTGCAGGTGTGATCCTAGTTCTCGTGGGCACGGTACCTTCCCTGGGCCTCATGGTGTTGTATTTCATGGAGATCAGGCCGGACTGTTTCTTGATGAGCTGGATACCTTTCGATTGTGGTTGTATTTTGCAGTTTTCAGGGCGCTCATTTTGCGAGATTCTGGATATTCCAAGTCCTTCAATGTCCAAGGTATCAAACACTTCGCGCAATCAGTTTCCACTCTTGAGCTTTGTTGCCACAATGTCATTCCATAGAGAGCCTTGAGGTCATTTGGGCTTCAGAGACTGACATCCCTCGCCGATCAAGTCAAATCGGCCGTTGCCCGTGATGATCCAGATTGAGGTTGCGTTGGGGGCAATATGCACACCTTTGCCTCAACAAGCCTTGCCCTCCTCAGAAAAGAGCGGGTGCTAACTCTGTGTCAAGTTACTCGTTTGGTTCTTGTTATCAACATTATCATTGTCAAAAGGGTTCAGTTCAAGCATAATGAGCCGGCTGATGACTACCTGACTACCTTTTCTAGATAAAGTCGAGTCGGCTCTTCCAATCCTGGGCCTGAAAGAGGTCGTTTGCCCAGCCACTTCTTGGTCGGGCTTAAGCTATATCGATTTGGCCAACGCTTCTGCCTCAAAAAGTCGCCAAAGGCCAATATGCAGGATAAACATGATCCATAGTGCGTGTTTCAAGCCATGACACCAATCCATAGGCCCTCATTGGGAATCCTGTAGAAAGTCTTTAGCCACAGCAGCAAGCGCATGGCGCTGCTTTGGTGCTTCTGCAGATGCTGTCGGCTCATGGTGCGTTGGGGAGATTCTTGGTTGAGAGAGTTTCAGATGTTGCTTCATCTGCCATGAATGAAGAGTGGTCGAAATCCCAAACTCTGCGTCTCCCCATGCCTGCACACAGGCGTCTCTTTGTAGGGACTGATTCTTTGCGTTTCTGCATTCTTTGGCCCGCTGGCCCAAAGACCTTGTTCTTGGCTGCAGGTCTGGTGTGATATGACTTCTTGATTCCATAGAGCTGCCAGAAGATCAGTCTCAGGATGTGGGGAGGCTGAGGGGCAAGTGCCTGCAGTTTTGGGTTTCAAGGGATCAAGAACTACTTGGCAAATCATGACCTAGTCACCTGAGTCCCTTTGTAGCCACTGCCCACCCGCCAGGCAGCAGAATCACTCATTTTGGATGGCAAATACACAAAATCAACTACAGCCAGATAGAACGTTGAGACCAGTTGCATGGTCTACTCACATGGTTGGTTGGGATCGGATAACTTACACACAGTTTTCACTGTCCGTTGAGATGTGCAAGACTCTGCTGTTCCAGGACGGCGATCTATTTTTGACTGGTCTCTCACGAGCCAGTTCAATAGTTGACCCAGACCAAGACATAGGGAGATGGGCAAGACTTGGCTGATGTGCGGGGGTTCGTACGTACCACCATTTAAGATGCACAAGAGGCAGGACACAACATCCTGCCGGGCCGGGAGCCGAACGCGTTTGAACCGCATGCATTTCACAACAGGATGAGGTGACTGAATGCTGTACAACTTCCATATGTTTGAGCCGAAGGGTGTTTGTACAAATTGCACTGCATTTAATAGGAGAAATAATATACTTTGTTGCGCTTTAGTGTTCCGTTTCGTGGGTGTGTGTTTTAACGCAACATGCGTGCACCATAAGAACGGACGGGCAACACTCACACTTTTGATCTGAAACATGATACTGTAAAGGTTAGGAACTGGAAGTATTGATAAAATGAGTACCACTCCGTGCTCGGTTTCTGACCCGGTGGCACAAGCATGTGAAGTTGAAGGGTTGGAACATGCTGTGGAACCGATGTGTTTCCGCATCCTTTCTTGCTGCTACTTAATCAGAGTAGTTCAACCCCCCCCAAGTCTTGGTTCTGCTTATGTACCCGTTTTTTGCATAAAGGAAGCCTGTTGGATCATTTGGGAACTACCAACTTGTGTGCCCCCAAGTCTTGGATCTGTGCGAGTCTTGGATCATGAATCCTTGCATGGCGCCACTCCGAGGAGAGGATGAAGCATCCTGTGCCACTCCGAGGCCGACCAATGGTCAGAATTTTCTTCTCGTTGATCGGAGTTGATCGGGGTTGAACAGGGTCTTCCTCATTAATCCAAACTCTCACGGTCTAAACTTAATCCGACCCTATAGAAGTGATTTCCGAATCTCAGTATTCGCAGTCTCGGCTCACCGGATTAAGCAAACGTCCCAGACCTACATTCAAATTACAGTACATATAAAGCGTTATCACAGCACTTTGAGTCTTTTTCTCTGCTCTCAAATTTTTAATCTGCACATCTGGAGCTGGTTGGCAGGATCTCATGCAAAGCTGGGGTAGACAAGTGAAGCGACAGAAGAGCAGTTTGGACCTCGCGTATGCTGGAGGAGTCTTGGACACGTTGGTTGGATCCCCTTGTTCTGTTTGATTGACTCTTGCGCCTGGATGCTCGTTGTGGCTGGAGCATCGCAGGATGTGGAATTCAAGAAGAAGCAGGTGCGCAGTGCTATCGTTGGACAGGGCCCAATGCTGACGAGAGGACCTTCGGACACGTACCACCTCGACATTCTTTTTTGATCTTTTTTGCAGAATGCGCACAAATGAAATAGGGATTGATCATGGAGCGATGGGTTTTGGTGTAGAGCGGGGTCAAAAATCTACACTCGCTCAAGAGAATCAGCCAAGTTGTGCAGATGTCAACAAGCCCTCTCGATGGGTGGACAGGGACCGAGGAGTTCATAGACGGATCCCAGATTCTGTGGCGGCTTTGACATGCTACAGACCCTAGAGCCAGAAGACATGAAGGCCATGGCAGCTGCAGCTCAGGCGGGTGCTTCAGTTTGCACATTTGCACGGGAGGAGGGCTGCAGCGAATCTCCATGGTCTTTGCTTTGGCTTTCGGTTCACATTCGCAACGAAACAAGTGCTGCTTTCCCAGTCACAGGCACAAGCGTTTTGCTAAATTCAACCCTGGGTTTAGCAAAATTACAGTAGAGTTAGAGGGGAGACCTTGGTATCTGGCTGCAACATTCTGCAACTATTCTATGTCGTAGGGCTTTTGCATTGCAACCGACGATCAGGACATGAGAAAGAAGAAGCAGGGAGCCTCAATGTGGGCTCGTGGACGTGAGCCTCGTGTGGTGAAATTCCAGCTGTTGTCTGTGGTCTCCATGGCATTTGCAAACGCTGAAAGCTTGGTGGGATTTTTTCTGAAGTCCTTAAAACCTACAGTACCAGGTTTTCCTGAGAAACAGGCAAGCTCACAGGGTTTACAGCAAATTGGAGGGCACTTGAGTCAACGCGAGTCCAATCTTGTTGCTGGGAAGCTATTCCGCCTTTTTTTGGGATTGATGATTTCGAGCAATCTCTGCACCTGTAGACTAGAGTGTGAAATTCAAATTGATGAGGTCCCCCCCAAGTGGTTGATGGGTCGGTTAACTAGTTCTTTCCCTCCCAAAGGGCTCGGGGGGGCAGAAAGTCCGAACCGCCTCAAGGAGTGCGAAAGTGGAAGACCATGATGGTTTCCCACCACCACGAAACAAACCGAAGAGGACGGGAAGATGGACCATGCTAGACCCAGGGCGGGTCCGACTCTACATGACCCTACTGAGCACCGCAGAAGGGAATCATAACATGCTTGGAAGATCTCAGACTTGATTTTGGAAAAACCTTTTAAACACTGGTTACAGTATGTGGATCGTGTCGACTATAATGTTCTTGGGGAGAAAAGCAGGTAGGTGGCTTTCTTGAAAAGGTCCAAGGGAAGGTCACCAGAATCTGCAGCTGCGCTTCCCCAAGATCTTCTCTTGCAACTCAGACAGTAGCAAAATGTGGCAAAGCACAGAACATGTGGTGATGAATTGTTGGTCATGTTAGGCGCAAAGCTTCAATGACCGCACCGGATGCCAATCGGATCTATATAGATATATATCAAAAAGTTATTAACATTTATTGACTCCCGCCAAAATGAATTGTTTTCTGCGAACGATGCCCCAACCTGGCGCTGGATCTGCAGCCCCGGTGGGTCACTTGGCAACCGTTGCGGGAGCGTGTGGGTTGTGAGTACTGGGTACCTTGGAAATGGCTTAGCCGGCGAGTTTTGGGATGGACAAATGGCAAATGGGGATTTGTGAGGTATCTCCCAAGTACAGGAAATTGGGGAGTCAAAGTCTGGTTTTGTGATGCTCGGAACACCTAGCCGCTCTTCTTCACTGTTTAGAAGTCTTGGTGAGTCCAAATACATGTTTTACATGTCTTGATATTATCATATATCATATCATATCATCACCAATTGTCTTTTTAATCATGTATACGTACTGTATTCTACAGATTTGACAGCATGCCTGCCAAGGCCTTCCTCAGATCAACACCCAAAGTACCCCTTCAAGCTGCCGAATCCTGGCCCATGTGAAGCTATGCGTGAGGGCTCACTCTTGAGAACTGGCATACTGCAGCTCAGTCCATCTTGAGCAGAATTGTCTTTTGTCTGTTCAGAATTGTTCTGGGTACGGCGAGGCCAGCTTTGCAAATTTCAACCCCCTTTAGAGGAATGCGCAGACAGCCACACATAGCGAGCAGACATGTAGCAGCATCCTGATTCTTTTGCCATACCATAATTGTTAATCCATTCAAGTATGTGTTTGATGCAATTTCATCCATGTTTGGCTTACTGAAGTTAGAACTGGCCCCACGTCATTCTTTTGCACCAGTGCCGTGGTGTGATGCCAAGGTGCCTTGGTGCCTTGAGGTTTGCTGCGTCGGAGCACTTTCCCATCCTCAAGCGCCTCAAAACGTCCTCGCCCAAAGTCAGGGAGAACCTCCTCCAGTTCGAGTACTGTTTCCCTGACACGTCGCTAGGCGGAGCAGTCGACCTTAACCTGAGGGGTTGCAGGGGTTTGCGGGGACAAGACAGATTTTCGTGGTGTATGTTGGTGTCATCAGACAGATAGTTCATTACTGGTTTCTGACTTAGTGTGAGATATATAGGCCCTGTGTGATTGTTCTGTATCTTTGACACATGACATATCCAACCGTTGTGAGCATTGGAGCAGGCCTCAAAAAAACTCCTACAATCTGTTTAGTAATGACACCCATCTTCCAGGTATCCTGTGGGCTATAGCAAGTGTTGCCGGGACCCCAACACTTCATGGTACAAGTCCAATTTGGCCACCTTGTGCTGGAACTCAGACAGCCCCTTGACCTATGAGCGCTGCTGTATCTTTCACTATGGACCAACGTTGCGTGGTTTGCCCTACGGGTCAGATTCCCTGACCGACTTCGACGTGCCGGTAGCTGGTCGTCTTCGCTTACGCTCCTTGTTG